TGTATAGCTTAAACTAAATAGGAATTAACTTAATAAATTAACTTTATGTTTTGTGTTCTGTTTATTGGTTTACCCTGCAGGTAAGAAATTTTGTATTCGATGTTACTAATAGTTTTACAATTTCATTTTCACCGGTAAAATTTGTAATAATACGCAGTGTAAAAGTATTTTTTGTTTTTTTAGCTGCAAGAAGACTATTAACGAAGAGGATTAAACGGATGAAAAACCATTTCTATACCTTCAACTCTAAATATGAGCGGGATTTGTTCCTACAATCCTACGATCAAATGCGTATGTGGTAGTGGTGTAGCGGTAGAGCGCACGCTTTATAAGCGAGAAGTTTCGAGTTCGATTACCACCATGGGAATACCCCTAGTAGTCCCGCTTAACTTGTTTCTCCGCGCAGCAGCCTTATGTATATATATATATATATATATATATATATATATATATATATATATATATATATATATATATATATATATATATATATATATATATATATATATATATATATATATATATATATAAAACAAGCATTGTATGTGTTGCGGGATAGCTCAGATGATTAGAACGTCAAAGGAAAAGTTGAAACCCGGACGTTGAACGATACGAGTTCAAATCCCGCCTACTCAGCGCTTGAGTAGTACTTCGGTACGCAAAAATGTTGGTCAATAACGGACACTACTTTGGATTAGTCTTAATGACTATTTGTGGCTGTTCCTATGCTAAGCCAACAATATCTTTGGATATAAGAACATTGTATAAAAAAATATAGCATGAAAACTCAAATAAATAAAAAAATAAAAATAAATATGATGAAACTAAATTTTTTATAAGGCAACACATTGAAAGCTTTCCAACTAAAGAAAGCCAATATCTTAGAAAGCGTATATGCTACCAAGATGCCACTTTAAATATTAAAACTGTTTATAGGCTGCTTCAAAAAAAAATACTTTTTAATATAAGTTAACGAAACGATGTTTTTTAACTACTTTAAAGAAAACAATAATCTTTCCATTGGAAATCCGCAAGTTGACATATGCTGCACTTTCAAAGAACTCACTTTAAAATTGAGGAGCCCTCGTCTCAATGAGGCAACAAAGAGATGTGCTTAATCTGAACTTGATGTATGTAAATGCAAATCAAAAAATGTTTAAGATCGAATCCGAAAAGACATCAATGACAAAAACAATAGTAAAATTTTGTCATTGTGTTTTGACTCCCAAAAATACCAGTGCGAGAAACCTTCTATCTAAGGCAACATTTTGTTAATATTTTTTGTATTCATAACAATAAAAGTAACAAAGCACACGTTTTTGTTTACCACCAAAGCACAACAGTGTGTTTCCTTCTAATTAAGTATTTAATGAAGGTAGAGCAGCAATTTACCAAACTTCACTTATACTCAGATAAATACTGGGCCCCAAAAAAAAACCCATCTCCTTTTAGCCATGACTGATTTAAAGAAATTTGAAAATATTGAGCAATTGAAGACTTCGGTGCAAAAATAATGTAATTCCACTTTTTATCAATTTTCAGGTTTTAATGGATTATGAGAATATAAAAGAAGTTCTATCAGTTAAGTATAAAAATGACATAAAATAAAGCACTTCTGGTATCATTAGTTCTGTTTTTTCGTTCTGGTATCATTATTCTGTACTTTCTTTCTCCTGAACAATTTCCAAAAATGGAGTTACATCGTTTTTGCACCGAGGTCTTCAGTTCTACCCAATAAAAGGCCAATCTATCCTACCGTGTGATAGGGATTTTAGCATATTAAAACGAGAACTAAATCGACACGATTTTTTTCATATGAAAGCATGGTAAATGTCAATAACCAAGTGTGTTTAATGATAACAAAAAATTACATCTTTTAGAATAAAAATAAAGATAATGCAAAGTTTTATTTAGTTTTCTCAAAACTATGTGTTTGTTGACTCTACTTTTAGCAAGAGCCAATTCAATGGAATTTCTTGTTTTGTAACAAAACTGTTCGAATAAAATTCGAACAGTTTATTAAATAAGTTAGATTATATGTAAACATAAAAACTCGAACATTAAATAATTTATTAAATAGTTTATAAAAACAATAAACTTTAAACTTTCAATAAGTTTACAAAGTAATGAAATTACATGTAAAATATAATTACAAGTAAACAAAATGTTTTTTGATTTTTTGATATTTAATTTATTGGAAAAAATTATTTTGATGGTGAATTTGCATTAGGTAAATAATTTAATTTAGACAGAATAATGCCTTGTGGTAAATTTAATATAGTAAAATTTAAATTGCACACGTTGTAGTTGTATACATTCATTAAACTCTCATTCAAATGTTTAATGTTCGCTCTCATTCTCATTTAACAACATTTTTTTTATTTTAGATGAAAAAAGGTTCTAACGATCAGCGGCTGCAAAACAGATGTAAAAAAACTAAAAATAGATGTAGCTATTGCAAAATGCAAACAAACTTGATAAGTAATTTATTACAGTAATTACTGGGAAAGCATTATTTTAACTTCAAAAGCACTAGCAGAAAACTGGAACATCACTAAAATTTTCGCAAATATCCAGAAAGAGAAAAGCCAGATTATTTGAAATAACTTATTTCATGATGACTTACAACAAGATCATTGGATTCAAGATAGCGAACTTTTATTTAAAGTGAAAATATATTGACACTATAGTATATCAACTGCAGTCACGCTTCCAGGGCCACAAACAGGTTAATGATTTGTTCACATTTCAGGGACGACGACACGGGTTTCAAAGTGAGGGGCACAATCGTCAATTTCTAAAAAAAGTTCTCTTTATCTAGAAATTTCTTAAAAAAAAAAGATTCCTTACATAAAAAGTTTGTGTGGCAGTTGCCCTTCTGGCACCCCCATTGTTTTCGGCTCTGCATTTTTGCATCTTCATCATCTCAAGAGTTTGTTACTGAAATGGAACTTGTTTCAAATAAATTTGTAAAATAATACCTTAATGATGTGAATGATGATCTTTTACAAGAAATTTGTTCATACCAGCATGAACTTCATGACGGGTTGTGTAAAATGGAGACCGTTCGGTATATTTTGCAAAATCTAATAAAAGCAAAAATAAAAGCAATTAATTTCACTAAAAGTGAAATTAATTGCGTCAATGCCAGAAATAGCAACTGCATGAGTTATCTTTGTAACACCTCTGGTGACTGCTGCATTATGTGAACGTTCCTTTCTTAAGATCATCAAAACCTAGGGTCAACTATTTCTTAAGATCGACTTTCTGGATTGGCGTTACTAACAATAGAATATAAGGAAACTTTACTTTTGAAAAAAGAAAAAGTTATTACAGATTTTGCAAATAAAAAATCACGTATAAATAAATTTGATAAATGAAAATACTTGAAGCAAAAGTTTTAATACAAAATTTTGCGTAATTTATTAAGTCTTACATGAGATTTTTAAAAAGTTTTGGGTTCCGATAAATATTTTTGTTCAGGGTCCTCCGAGTCTGTTGTAAAGGTGAGTTTCCACTCATCCATTTTTCTACGGGAAAGGGAAAGGGAACGTAAAAATAATCACGTGAACATGCACAGTTTTCTTTCGGACAAATAAAATCTTTTATTACGCATGCTCACGTAATTATTTTTTCCGTTACCGTAGAAAAACGGATGAGTGGAAACTCGCCTTTACGCTACTGAGTTACATCAAAAAGTATTTAACTTTTTTGTTAGTGGTCAAGATTTAAAAACCCAATAAATCACTTCTGAACAAAATTTAAAGCAGAAGATCCATTGTGTTAACAAACTGATTATTTAACTACTTGATAACCGCGACATAGAACTTTGAACTGTTAATGAAGAATTACATTCTAACCAACTTGTTCGAAAGACAAGTGAATATTAATTCAGAATTCAATTGTTTAGATATGAACAAGAATATACCAACTAAGTGCTAAAAAGTCATCAATTGGTTTAACACAACAAACAAGTTTTGTTCGTTATAAAAGAATAATACATTTTACGACGTTTTAATTTGAAGTTCTAAATACAAATATTCTTTTAAATGTGTTTTTTATAATAGCTACTTTTAAAAACAGCCTTTAGTTTTAGTTTGTTAGGTTGTAAAGTCCTTTTTGTTTTTATATTGGCTGCAAACTCATTAAAATATCATCTCTGAAGCAACAATCTGTAATTCCAAGAATTAAAACTTAAAAATTGCTCCTTTCATTTGACTATGATCGCTAAAAGCTTTTTACCCGATAAAAGAGAGTTTACATTAAAGAGAAAAAAAAAGATTTTTTTATTTTTAAAAAAGCTTTTATATTTTCTGGGGTACAATAAAGGTAAAGCCATGTAAAGCCACGACAATATGAAGTGACACTACTGCTGATAATAAAGGATCGGCCATGTAAAGCCACGACAATATGAAGTGACACTACTGCTGATAATAAAGGTAAGGCCATGTGAAGCCACGACAATATGAAGTGACACTACTGCTGATAATAAAGGTAAAGCCATGTAAAGCCACGACAATATGAAGTGACAATATGAAGTGACACTACTGCTGATAAGGTCGCTTTAAATCAATAAAATTACTTTATAAATAAAATTATCTTTAAATAATTCTTAAATAACTAAACTATACATTTTTTAAACCGATATTAATAATAGTATTAAAAAAACCGCAAATATTTGAAGAGATTCCTTTAATAAGTACAAATAACATACATAAAAATTCGTATGTATAAATAAAAATATAAACAACTATATCTACAAAGCTAATCAAAGCATTAAAAACCAGACCTGCTGGAAATGACGAAGTTTATATTTAAAAAATCATATTAAGTTGATTAAGATCAAATTTTTAAAAGGTTTTAAATTTTCAAAAGTATCACTTTTTCAAGGGTATTAAATTCACTCAAAACCATAATTAACCTTACTTACATGAAAGATCCTTTTAATTTCAACTACACATTAAAAATATATTAAGCATCGCTGATTAAAGAAAAAGTTATTTAAAGCTAACAACATGTATTCACTTTTTTCCTGTCCAAAATTGGCCCAGGACTACATAAATTAAGACTATTCCGTATAATAACAGTATCTTCTCTTTGAAGCAACGTGCTAAAAAATAAAACAATTGATTATAAATAATACAAAGTAAAAAAGTAGTAATTGCGCACGAAGAACCATTGTTACAGCTAAATTTTCATAAAATTTTTCATGAATTTAAAAATACATGTCCTATAATAGCTCACATCAAACGGCGAGAACCTATAACTACATCAAACTACAATACGATGTGATAATAGTTTTCATATAATGATAGTGTTGTCTGATATTTCGGTCAAAAATTTTGTTTTTTTATTAGTGGAAGTTACATGAAAATTGAAAATATTAAGAATTGGTTGCATCATAGCAATACATTTGTTAAAAATAATTTAAAAATAAATTGAAAATTAAAATAGCAGAATATCTCAACGATTAGGTCATACAAAATTCTATTATTGATTGCAAATCTTTTTAAAATCAATATCTTTTGTCATAAGAAAAGCACCGTATTGTAGTACTCTGTGAGCAAACCATGCTTCTGCTCTTTAAATTTGAAGATAAGAAGCGGTAGGGGTTGATACATTACAGCTATGGTTTGTAATCGAATTTAACAAAAATAAAAAAGATTATAATTAACCAAGATATACTTTTGATCTCTCTAAAACTATTATCTCATTCTTCTTCATTATCAGAATCCCCCTATCATCGTACCTCTTACTAATACATAGATTATCCAGGTCATATTTTAAAAATCCGGAAAATTGTTTTTCATCTAATTTTGCTTTTAACTGAGTTGTTTAAAATTTTTTTTTTTTTGAAACGTTTTTTAATTTTTTCTAAGAGTGATGAATGAAAAAGCTTAAACAACAAATATCTTACAAAAATATATATCTAAACTTGTATGTGTGGAAAATGTTTTGGATATCCGGAAAAACTAAAAGTTAAAAAGAACTTCGGAAATATCCGGAAAAATATAACTCCTGCAAATACCTTAAAGCTGACTCTTTCCGTGATTTTCTTTGTGATGACCTTTGGGTGGAAATCTTTTTTCTGACGCCAAAAAAAAAAAAGGTTTAGTCTGACGCCAAAGCCCACTATTCTCAGGTCACGAAATCTGGTATTTCATCTCAAAAACTAGGCTCTCGTGACTTCTGGAGAACTTTAACAGTATCTATAACAAGGGCAAATCTGTTAATCATTAATAAAAAATAGGTTAATCCATTGCTTGACATTTGTATCACTCCAGCTTCTGTATCTTAAGTAATTTCCTGCTTAGACTCTTCTACAGCTTGTGGTCTGAACAACATACCTGTTATAGTCTTGCAGAAGTGTTTTCCAGAACTGTTGTCTATACTTTCAAAACTATTTAACAAGTGCTTATCAGAGTCTTATTTTGCCTGCTGGAAGGCGACTTCTGTCATCCCTATTTTTAAAAACTCTGAAGAGCAATCTAGCTCATCTAACTACCGACCCATTAGTCTTCTTACTATCATAAGCAAGGTTTTTGAGTCTTTAATTAACACTTAATCTCCCATCTTGAATCTAATAATTTACTTTCTGATCATCAATATTAATTTCGATCTCCTTATTCTACTGCTGATTTGTTAATGGTAATAACTGATCGGTTTTATTATGCATTAGATAGATGTGGAGAGGCTAAGGCTATTGCTCTTGATATTTCTAAAGCTTTTGATAAAGTTTGGCATGCTGGTTTTCTCCATACACTCTCTTCTTACGGTGTGTCAGGTAACATCTTTAAGATTATTGAATCCTTCCATACCAATCATAGTATAAAAGTTGTCCTTGATGAACAGCACTCTTCTTCATATCCTCTAACTTTGGGGGTTCTTCAAGGTTCTACCCTTGGTACTATACTCTTTTTAATTTACATTAACAATCTACCAGAAGTTCTCACATCTAAGGTGGCATTGTTTGCTGATGATACTACCATTTATTCTTGCCTTTATAAGAAGCTAACATTCTATCTAGATTATTGGGATAATGATTAGCTTCTAAGAAACTAATCATTATCCTAATAATCTAGATCTTCCTATATTATCACTACATTCATGGCTCTCAGCTCTCAAGCCTCTACTTACTACTTCAATGAAAATTATGACTAATGAAAATTATGACTAATTATGACTAAAATGGGGTTTGTTCTTTTCCTCCTCATTGCAGCCTGGTTCCATACTGATTATTTATAGTATACCAGGCATTGTATGTAATTCATTTCCACTTACATGTACCAATAATAATAAGCTGGTTTTAAAAAAACAAGAATTTTCCCACCAAATGTTAATAAAGGCAAGATGAAGAGCGGGGCAAGATGAAGAATGTTATAAATTTTCAGTTTTTGACTAGGTGGCAGCATTAATCAGACATTACTGACTATCCTATAGGCTGTTCATTAAAAAATAGTTGAAATGACCAATTTTGTATTAGTTGTGAAACTTGGATTGTTTACCACTGCCACGTTGTAACTTTTATGCTTGTGTAAATAAGCTTTGCTACAGATATAGGTAAACTATTTTGTTGCTCTTTAACATTTATAAGTAATTTAGTTTAAGTACTACCTATTAGCAAAAAAAAAAAAAAAAGTCAATTAATCACCTTACTTCATGGCAAGGAAAATGAATATTTTTAAATAGGCAGTCCGGTGCAAGATGATGGGGGCAAGATGGCGAGCTCGTCATAGATATGTAGACAAGTTTTTCAACATTTTAAGAGAGCATCGGAAAAATATAAATTCCCTGTTTCTTCAATCTACAATGCAGATGAGTCAGGTCTGTTTATTGTGCCTAATAAGCTAGCCATGGTTCTCAGTCCTACAGTATCTAGAAGAGTTTCTAAAATTGTTTCAGCAGAGTGAGGAAGAAATGTAATTATAATTTTTTGCTTTTACCAGTCACCTTTTCTGATTTTTGCCAGATAACAAATGTTTCCTGAACTTGTAGAAAGAGCCCCATCAGGAACTGTAGGCCACTGTAGTGATAACAGCTGGAGTAACAGGGGAACCTTTTTACATTTTTTGAGGCACTTTTATCTACACTTGAAACCAAACAGAGAATCTCTTGCTTTATTGATTATTGACAATCACAAAACTCACATAATTTTGGAGGCTATTTTATATTGCAGAGAAAAAAAACATCATTATGGTTAGGTTGCTGACCCACACATCACATCATCTCAGACATCAGACACAACCTATCAAAATAGTTTAACTTGTGTTTAGCAAACATGACTTTGCTGCTGCAAAAACTACTGACTATGATGTGTTGGCCATCAAACTAAGAACAATAATGCTAATCCTCAGACCTAAACCATTCAGAAGAACTTATAACAAATGCTAATTCAGATGCACCAAAGAAGTCGGATAGTATTTTTAATTTCAAACCATTTCAAACAGAAAAGCAAAATAACGAGCTCTCAAGCATTCTTACAAGTTTCAAAGAACTGTTAAAACAAAGAAAAAAGCAGAAAGAAGAACAAAAACGAAAGAAGAACAAGAAAGTTTAAAAAAACAGAGAAAAGAAGCTTGTGAAGCTAAAAAGAGTGTAAATAAACTCAAGCTAAGTACTGTAGGGCTAAGTCTATAAAATCCAGGACAAACATTCTAGTTGCATCAATTTTAAAGGATTATGTTAAAGGATGTCCTGCATGTGAAGAGGAATATTGTGACCCTCTAATAAAAGAATGGATTCAGTGCTGTTAATGCCAAAAAAAGATGTAAAAACACAGTTACTATTTGTTAAACCAAATAACATATTCAAAAGATAAAATATATTCAACTATTTTCTGTGTTGTCATCATGCCCCAAGGGGCAAGATGACAATTTGTTAAGATTGTGGGAAAAAAATTATTTTTTTTAATTTGAATAATGTTGATATATTTAACATCACAAAGGACTACTCTAACATGTTCATGTAAAATTCATTTTACTATCCTTGAAAATATATTAAGAAGCAACAAAAATTGTTACAGAGGAACTTTTTTGTTTGATTTGCGTTGAAATGTTTTTGAAAAGTAAACCAGAGAAAGTCTGGATTCAATGCACTAAAAATCACCTTTAGACTTATGAATCTTGTATAACCGGAAAGCCTTTGTTTTTATTTGTGATGACTGTAATGATTTTGCACATAAAATTTTTTATCATAATGAATCCAACTTGAATATGTTACCCAAATTCATATGCTTCAAGATTACATTCTGATATTTACAAAAAAACATGCTATGTGGGTTACAGAGCACAAAAAGTAAAAACAGAGGCAACTAGCCCCAGTCTCCCCTAAGTCATGAAAAAATAGTCAAAAGGGTAATTCCATGTAAAAGTAGAACAGTCATTTCAGTCACCCCTTGGATTTTCTTTCAGTTTTATGTTCAGGATTTTCTTTAAATTTTAGCCAGTGGTACATATTAATGAAACATGAAAAATTATAAAATTTGAGCTCCCAAATCCAAAGGATTCAAAAGTTATGACGTTTTGAAATTCAGCCTGAAATGCTGTTTTTTTACCAAATCTGCCATTTTGGATTTTGTTGCAGTACTTTTTAATGAATAATTTAAGATTTAGTGGAAGAATTTGGGTAAAACCTAGTACCTGACCATTTTTCAGGGTACTGAATTCAAAAATGTAGAGAAAATGTTGAAGTTGAAATTTTCTGATTTTAAAATGGTCAGGCAAACTTTTTGTTCTGTTACCATGGGTTGAGCTTTCATTAACTGCCGGAGTTGCCCAGGTCTTATGAATTCAATTTATTTTTCAAATGAAATATTAGATCTTAGGCTATCTTTATAAAAAAGATGGTTTTGGTTTCTTAAAGCATAATAAAGATATGTCACTTTAAAATTTAGAAAAAAAAAATCCTTTTTTTGACCTCCATTCTCCATTATAGAATTTATAGTGATACTTTTTGGTTGAATAATTTAAGTAGAGAAAGGATATGAATGAAAATTAGTACCTGACCATTTTTAAAGGTTTTGAATACAAAGATGAATTGAAAATAACCCAATTCTTAACATTTGAGAACGATTTTTTAATTTTTATATATCAACAGTCAAATTTTTTGTTTCGTAACCATGGTTTGCATTTCGGTTATTTCTGGTGTTGCCTTACTCTAAATATGAAATAAGAGGTCTTGAAAAAGTTTAGAAAATAAAAAAATATATATTGCTTTATATAACTAGCATATTTATAACTAATATTTTCAAAAGTATACATGGAAATATAATTTGAAATATAATACATCACATTGAAAATATAATTTTATTATTTATTAGTTATAATAATTTAACTTAACATTACTACTTAATATCTAATAATTAAGTATTGTTTCAAAATATTGGTTGCTCAAATTTTAGGTTGCATGCTCAAATATTGTATTAAAAAATGAGAAACTAAATTTGCCAATTTTTTTGAAAAATAGTAAAAAATCATGCATTATTGAAAAAAACTCGAAAATAGAAATAAAAAGGAATAATCCATTACTAAAATTGAAGTTGATATCATTTAAATAATGGAAGTAAAATATTAATAAACTTTCACTGACAAGATAAAAGCTGTTCAAAGAGTTTCATCTTCTTTTAAGATGTCGTACTGACGCCCAGAAGATATTGACAGTGTTTTAATAAGAGAAATGACAAAAGTTGTTCTTTTGTACTTGTAAGTTGTTTAAAGTGTACTTTCAGAAGTCAGCTAAAAGTAAAGTTAAATATAGCTAAAATAGAATTTGGCCAAGAATTTTATAATTGTAACTCACAACACTTTCACAAAAAGTTGTAATTACTATAAATACCCTTTATAACTTTCTTATGAGTATTAAATGGATTGCAGTACTGTGTTAATTTATTTGCATAACACTTCAAATAAACATGTTTATGATGTAGACAAACTGTTGATTTGACATTGATTATTGATAACCCAGTCCTCCACATAAATATTTCTCTTTCATATTCAGGGATATCTTCAAAAGATTCAATTCCAAGCAATGATGTATATGTTGCAAGATGACATTCACTTTCTAGCTTGATTCCAATTGAGCACTGATGACTGCCATTACTCAGAAACTGAATTACCAAATAAGACTCAATAATTATTTAAACTAAAATTAAAATAGTTTTTATGTTTATTCAACTGGTGTTTCAAAACTATATTTATACATCACAGCAGATGTCACAAGACTATATTTTTTACATGACATATCACTTCACAAAACTTTATTTATGTATCAAAACCAACCTCAAAAAACTGTTTTTACACATCACAACTGAGTCAGGAAACTTTATTAGTCAGGAAACTCCATGAGTCAGGAAACTCCAAGAATTAGAGAAAATGTTACTTTGTTTTATGGTAAAGTAACTTTTGACCATTTTAAATAAAAAACATTTATCAAACATTTTGAATTAGGACTTTACTACTTTGGATTCAGCATCTTCAAAAATGGTCAAGTATCAATTTTTAGTCAGTTTCTTCCACAAAAAATTAAATTATTTACACACAAATTATTGCTAATAATAATTATCTTCAATTGAGAATTTGAGTCCAAATAAGGAATTTTTTGTATAAGTTTAAAAATGACATATCTAAACTATTTTTCAAGAAACCAAAACTATCTTTTTTATCTAAATAGCCTAGGATCATTTACTTCATTGGGAAAAAAAATTGAATCCATGAGACTTAGACAACTGTGAGAGTTAATGAAAGCACTATTTTTGAATTCAGCACATTCAAAAATGGTCAGGTACCAATTTTTAGCCACATTCTTCCACTAGATCTTAAGTTATTCATTAAAACAAGTAGTAAGCAACCTGTAATACGGGTTGTTAGTAAATAAAATTAAAAAAAAAAACCCGCATATAGAAAAGCCTAGAAACTACTTCAAAATAGAAAAACCTAGAAAATTACGTAAGTCAACTATTAACTACTACTACTAAATTAGCGTATTAATATTATTAGAAGTACTAGTACAAAGACTATAATGGCGGATATGGAAAAAATAGGGCATTTCAAGCTAAATTTTAAAATGTCATAACTTTTGAACCGTTTGGATTTGGGAGCTCAAACTTCACATTTTTTCATGTTACATTGATATGTACCAATGATTGAAATTTGAAAGAAATCTGAGAGGGTGACTGAAAAATTTCAATTTTTTGTCCCACTTTTACATGGAATTACCCAAAAGGTAAATGAAATTTTAATCAGATAGGGTTCTAGATTAAGGATGGTTTATTATCTTTAATTCATAAATATATAATTTAAACAATATAGTAATAGCAGGTTAAACTCTCTCATAAAAGTCAATAACTACTTACGTTGCAATTAGTTCAATCAATTCATTGATATTTTCATTTGATTTTGAACTCGTCTCAATAAAAAGAGCATCATTATCCTGTATGTTTAGAAAAATAAAGCAATAAGCAAATAGATTACAGAAGTGATATCATTAATGTAGAAATAGCTAATTACAGATGAATCATAATTACGAAAATTTATCATAAAATTAAAAATCTATTATAAAATTAACCAAAAACAGACTTAGATTTCAAAAGTTGAAATTATAAAACTATTCATTCTATTTTGTGCAAAATTTAATTTTAATGTTTAATATTTGCTCTAACAAGGAAATAGTTCAATTTTTAGCTAAAAATTCCGTAATTAACATTTCTACGTTATAAGATAAAGTTTTTTTTTTTAAATACATTTAAATTTAATAAAAATTAATGAAACTAAAAATATATGAGAACACAAATATATAAAGAGTTTTGCACATAAGACTCTTAGCATTAAAATACTTGTTTTAGATTTGAAACATGAATCTAATATATCTTGAATTAATTTCCTGTAAAATTTGTAAAATTCATTTAGTTTCTTTAGCACCATAGACATTATTTTAATAAAAATCATATTTTTGTTAATTTTGAAAAATTTTAATAAATAGACTTGTGTCCTTTTCAAGATGATAGTTTCAATTAGAAAGATTGTTACTGATGCTTTTGACCTTATGTAAGGATTGATATAAGAAAATATTAAAAAGATTGTTAGAATAAATATTTATTATTGATAGATCTATTTATACTAAATTTCAAATAAACAAATTTCAATCAAAAACTTTTCAAAAATTAAGAAGAAAAAATTTCAATCGAAAAAACATTTTTTTAAAAATCTTTTTTATTGTCTTACTGCAAATTAGACTCATTCCATATTAACCATCTAAATTTCATTTTTAAATCATTTAACCCCACTCCTCATCCAAATCAAAAATATTGTTAATGTACAGCGCCCTGATATGCGGCGAAAGTAGAAGTATATTTAAAATAAAAAAATTTAAACCTGAAGTGGATAGTAGATAGCAATATTAAAATTTATTTTAATTTTAATTTGCATTGAATAATAGATAGTTCAAATTTACCCATGATACATTGCTTTCATTAGGATACCCTGATACATTGCTTAAGTTTCATTAGGTTTTCCCTGAAATAAATATCTAAAAAACCATTTAGGAAATTCATCAGCGGGAAACATATTTTTCAGTTAAAAACAAACCTTTGCCATTAAAGCTCCACATTCTGTTGTAATAACTCTTTTTTGATAAAGATCTTTTTTATTTCCTACTAACAATACTAGAGTATTGTCTTCAATTAACTCCTAAAAATTAAAAATATGTATCAAATTTCTAATTTCTTATTAACTAAATTTTATTATTTGTGAAAATATAAAATTACATGTATTGTTTGAAACCAAATTTTTGTATTTATAAATGTAGATCGATTTGTTAAGTCATAAGCCAAAACAACAACATCAGTTTTTCGATAGTATGCATGAGGTAGGCTATTAAACCTAAAAAACAAATACTTATTTAATTTTCTTCCAAAGCTATAATATATAGCTTCTGTAATACAAATAACTTTATGAATGGAGATCATTTAATACAAAAAAATATTTGATTATTTGTTATATTGCTAAATTAATTCAAAAATTTTTAAAATGTTTAAATAAACTTGAGAGTTTATCATTTTAAGTTACTTTATCATTTCAAGTTATTCTCTATGGGTAAAAGACGTGTTAAAATACGTATCAATACGTATTTTAGACACCTTAAACACATCATTAAACATTAAATTGCATAATTATAAATATATAAAATCTTATGCTTTGAATAATAAAAAAAATATTTTTGTTGCTATGGTTATTGGTGCTGCCCAAATTTTGATATAGAGAATGAATGGATGAGATGAATGCATGTAATAACACAATGTTTAATTATTACATCAATTAAAAAAAATTAAACAATTAAAATACAAACCTCTCTTGTCCACATGTGTCCCATAATATCAGATTAATACAGTTTTCTTTCAAATTAACAGTTTTTGAATAAGTATCTAGCTTTATAGTTTGTTGTTGATGGGGAAGGAATTCATCAAAGCAAATACGATGTATTAAACTGGTTTTACCAGCTGAAATATCTCCACATAGTATAACTTTAAACTGAGTTTGACTTAAGCATGCAAGACGTATATGATTTGTCTAAATATAATGTTTTAAATGCCATAAAAACTCTAACTTTATACAAAGTAAAAATTGAAAAATATTTTAATAAGTATCTAAGGCTAATAATTCAAAAAAATAATGTACATATATATATATATATATACATATATATATATATATATATATATATATATATATATATATATATATATATATATATATATATATATATATATATATATATATATATATATATATATACTACTTTGATCTCCCAGGAAACACACTCTGCTGCATACACTATTCCAAATCTCTATTTAAGATCATGACATTTTTTCTTATCTTTTAAAGTCACGCCACATACCTATCTGATCACCTTTTTCTCTGTTCTTTCCAGATATTGGACATCATCAATCCTCTTGTTTCACTGCCTTACATAACACTCTGTTATGATTTCATCACAACACTGTTATGATGGTATATTGAACATAACAGTCATAGTAAGGCTTAACAATGGTTGTATTTTGATTAAGCCTAGAGATATCATCTTTTTAATAGTTTTTTTAAGAAAGAATTTAATTCTAAAGAATAGTTAAACACTACTATTAAATAAGGTTATGTGGAAATGACAGAAACCATTTTCTTTCTAGATTGCATAACTTTATAATGATATATTTTAATTGCTTCTTGCTATATGCTAAGAAGTTTCACAAAGCAATACTTAGTTTCCCAAGGATAAAACTCAATAAAAGTTCATTTTTTGTTCTGATTTGATTTGGATTATCTACAAATAAAACAACTTATGAGTATGTTATATAATAGCGATGTACCAATATCACTTTTTAGACTGATACCGATGCTGATGGATGGGAAAAGGCCTACACTGATGAATTAACTAATTATTAAACAGAGTTGGACCTGGTCTATCTCCTAAACTTGAGCCTCTTTCCCATCGTTGTAAAGTTGCATCTCTTTCTCTTTTCTACAAATACCATCATGGTTGCTGCTCAAAGGAGCTTTTACCTCTAGTTCTATTTTCAAATTTTTAAGTCTTTTGTCAACCGTTGCCTTGCTCTATAACTCTACTCTTTTTTTCTAGCAACTCCAAAATTGATGGTGGTTGCTTGCAGCCTTGTTGGGAGTAAAAAAGAATTTAAAAAATATAGATAACAATGCTTAAATAGGTTATCTTAAAGCTTTTTCCTGTAAACAAAGTCAAAATAAAAATGCATAAAGTTTAGTTTATTTATTACTTAATTATTATAATAATGCATGATAAAAATATTAAAATGCTATCAGTTGGAAAATCGGTAAAAGAGGCTGATGCCGATTGTACAAAAAGTGGCCGATTAAGCTGATGCAGATTAATTGGTACATCACTATTATATAATGTAATGAAGTACACAACAAAAATGGAGTCTTTCTAGAAATGAACCATGTGATGCTGTTTATCTGAAATAGTGTCATAAACTTTTACACTACAGTTTTCTAACAAAGACCAAATTTACATTTATTTCATTTCAGAAAAGAGTTCCTAACTACATAAAACTTAATGAAAATTAAACAAAGACACCACTATAAAACTGAGATTGTTCATCATAATCCATACTAGGAAAAGTAATATAATAGAAATAAATAATAATACTAGAAAGCAAAAAATGGCAATATTGTGTACAATATTATATATACTTGTTGTATTTATAAATATATTTATAATATTATTATCAAATGTAAATATTTTTCAAAGTAGAAAAGAATTATTGTTCTTTTTAAATAAAATTCATATCTTATCTTAAAATGTAGTAAACTAAAAACTGTTTAAAGATCTTTTATTTTATTTGTTTCTTATTGTTTCCTAGTAAATAAATATTTTACTAAAATATTTACATATTTTACTATAAACAAATATTACAAAAAGTAAACATTAAAGTAAATAATAAATATGGAAATAGAGGTCAATAGAAAATAAATAAATAACTGGAAAACTATAAAAATAGAGGTTAGCAGCAAATCTCTCTTAGACCAGTTTTTTACAGTTCCGGACAGCTAGTTTATAATAATATATTTTATATATATATATATATATATATATATATATATATATATATATATATATATATATATATATATATATATATATATATATATATATATATATATATATATATATATATATGTATATATATATATGTATATATATATATGTATATATATATATATATATATATATATATATATATATATATATATATATATGTATATATATATGTATATATATATATATATATATATATATATATATATATATATATATATATATATATATATATATATATATATATTTAATAATAGAATTTTATGACAATTTATTTTAACTTTCTGCAGTGCAGTCCCAGTAAG